AACCATCACACAAATCCAGAACCAGAAGTACACAGTATACAGTATTACCACTGCTTATTTGACACATGGAATAATGGCTCCTGATCATGGAATTGGCTTCCCTGGTAGCTCAGTTGGTAAAGAAACCACCTGCAATGCAGGAGACCCTGGTTCGATTCCTGGGTGGGGAAGATCCGCTGGAGAAGGATAGCCTACCCACTCCAGTATTCTTGGGCTTCCCTTGTCACTCAGCTGGTAAAAAAATCCGCCTACAATGCAGGAGACCTTGGATCAATTCCTGGGTTGGGAAGAGCCCCTGGAGAAGGAAAAGGCTACACACTCCAGTATGCTGGCTTGGAGAATTCCATGGACTGTGTAGTCCATGGGGTCGCAAAGAGTCAGATGTGGCTGAGCGACTTTCACTTTTCGATACATGATAAAAGAGTCTCACTTCAAGAGGGATAATCCCTGCAACCAGTAAAATGGCTTGAGAAGCAGAGTATCAGCAGTGAAATTATTCTTATTAATAAATCGCCTACTGCCATAACCTGCTTTACTAATAAGCACAGTTCCTGGCTCATGGCAGGCACTCACATCTGCAGATGAATGAACCCTTGACCAACCTTAGGTAGGTTACTCGGCTACTCTACAGACTTTAACCTTTCTATGTATAAAAGCAGGCTTTCTCTGACAATTTTCTCAAATTAGGTCTTCGGATATATCAAGGCACTTTGAAACTCTGACATCAAGGAGAAGGGAAAAAAAGAGATGCTTCCATTTCATGCAAAAAGTCACACAGACAGGGGAAGTTATATGTCATGATCCCCATGTTGAAGCTCATCAGACTTGCATCTTAGATTAAATATCACTTTATCAGGAAGGAGTCCCCTAACCACCAACCCACTGCCCAGAAGATATTATGCGCCCTGAGTTAATCACTCTCCTTAAAAACTTTATTTTCCCTTTGCAGTACACAGCACAACAATCATTAAATAATGACTGTACTGCTCTTTGTTAAATGTTTGTCTCCCTCTCTAGACTTCAGACATTCTGAAGGTGAGGTCATGTGGGCTTTGTTGACTGACCTCCAGATTCTAGCACCGAGAAGTATCTGGCATATAGGTGTTTAGAAAACATGTGTTCAGTGAACGTTTGAGAACAAAAAGCCAGCCAATGGTGCCCTTCAAGACACTCAAATAATAAAAGCTTAGAAATCAAGAAAGGGAACATTAGGTCATCAAAAGCTAATGTTCAGAACATTACTCTGTTCTCAACATGAAACTGAGAAAAGTTTTTCCTTAGCAGTCACAGTGATAAAAGAAGTAAATGGATCATAGCATATCTATGTGCCATTTTATAGCTTTCATCACATGTGTGGTCTCATGACTGAAAATCTCCGGAGTTCCTACTGAAATTGTTTGTGGTTTAACATGTTTTAAAGAGCTGTGACAGGGTAACCCATTTACCCTGAAGGTTTTTATAAACGACTTACGGACTGCCTGGGGATTTTGGTTTTTTAGTGTTCACTGCAGTCATATTCCCTCTACAGAACAGCTGGGACAAAGCCTTTACTTCTTTTCTTTTTTTACGTTTCAGAGCACTGAAATAAATACTGATTCCAAATAAAATCTTCAAGCATTGTAGAAAATAGCAGCTCTATTTTCTCAAAGGACAAAGAAAGGCAATCTGAGTGCTTTGTTAAAAGCCAAAGGGACTTCCCAGCCATGGCTGGTAAATTGAGCCACACCTTTAAGGTTCCAAAGTAAACTTCGAAAACATTTTCAGAGGTTTATAACCTTCAGAATTCTGTGAAGATGAGAGCAAATGAGAGATCTTCATTTAAATAAGAAACTCCAATGCTCTTTGATGATTAAAAAAAATTTTTTTTAAACAGAAAAGACCAGACAGCGGACCAGAATCTTGGCAAAGGATATAGGAATGGCAGTATTGTAATTCCTAAAAGCCTATGAGGGAGCAGAAGTGAAACAGGACTCATAGGGGTTCCTATTATCTCTATTCTTTCTTAATTGTTGTTGTTGTTTAGTTGCTAAGTCGTATCCAACTCTTTTGTGACCCCGTAGCCCACCAGGCTTCTCTGTCCATGGAATTCTCCAGACAAGAATACTGCAGTGGGTTGCCATTTCCTTCTCCAGGGATCTTCCCAACCCAGGAATGAAACCTGCATCTCCTAAATTGGCAGGTGGATTCTTTACCACTGAGCCACCAGGGAAGTCCATTCTTTCTTAATAATTTGCTTTAAAACAATTTCTTTGTTTTAGAGATCATAAACACCTCATATTGTAACTCAATCAACTAAAATCTAATCCCATATGATTCTTGGATTCCAAAGGAGGTCAGGTTAAAGCCAATAAAAGTTTTAATTCAAAGCCCTGAAATAAAGAGAGCCAAGTACTTGTTTTTAAGAAAGATCCTGTTCCACCTTTCTCAGGAGTGTGTTTGGAAATCCAGGTTTGTAATAACACACTATCTTAACCTCTATCAAATTTTATGAATGTCAAAGTGTTTGATATACAATATCTAATCTGATTAACACAATAATCTTATGAAACAGGCAGGCGAAGACTTTTATAGATGAAGACCATGAGGTTCCAAGAGGTTAAGGTTCTTGACCCATGATCATAACTTGGAAAATGGGAGCACCAGAGTGGTAACAGTTTCTGTCCCCTAGACCCTTTCTATTGCTAAAGAACTATACCATTCTGACCCATTTCAAGCTGCTATTCATTCTTTATCCCTCACCAAAACAAGAAATAAAATGGCAGTAAGATAGTACTCCATACTGCGTAAAGAGTGAATAGTATATAAAGAGGATAAAATATTTCCCTCAAAATAATGGTCATATCCCCACTATGTCTCCATATGGTTTTAGGTCTTAGAAATCTTACAAAATTATGATTTCCTATTCTTGGTCTCATATTAAGCTTCTACAGAAAGCACAACTTTGCATAAGAAAAAACTGCAACTAAACATGCTCTCCTCTTATGAAAGATCAGGGACCTTCCTGACAAGCATTAGAATCACTGAATCCAAGTTGCTCCATAGTGCAGGCTGAGGTTAGGGCTGAAAAGCTGGATAAAACTCCAAGCACCATCTTTCCTGTTTAGTAGGGTGGGGATAACAGAATGAAGTCTCAAGATGAAAGAAGTGCTGTTAACTACTGAAAATGTGTGAGGGGAGGGCTGCTTTTTCTTTTTTCCCCTTTATGAGTGACTCAGTTTTTTGAAGGGGAGAAAGTCCAATTCTTTATATAAAAATATCATGTATATCTGTGAATTCTAAGGTTTAATAGGAAAAAAATCCACATTAACTTCAACTTTTAAAATCTGTTTTCTTATCTATAATGTACACTGTGCTGTTTCCTTTGCAAAACATCAAGGTTAAAGCAGAAACGCCTATCAAATAACCTCCACAGAATGCAAGGGTCAATGCTGGACCGGCCCATACATAGGTCTAACTCTGATTTTTGGCAGCAAATATATTTTATTCTTGGGCTTCCCTGGTGACCCAGTCAGTAAAGAATCTGCCTGAAATGTGGGAGACCTAAGTTCGATCCCTGGGTTGGGAAGTTCCCCTAGAGAAGAGAACAGCTGCCCACTCTAGTATTCTGGCCTGGAGAATTCCACGGACAGAGGAGCCTGGCGGGCTACACTCCGTGGGGTAGCAAAGAGTCAAGAAACGACTGAGTGACTTTCACTTCACTTCACTTTATTCTATAAAAACAGCCTTGTTCTTTTAAGGCACTGATTGTCAACCTAGGATACATAAGAGAATGGGTTTTAAAAAATACAGGTACCCCAATTCTGCTCCAGACAGACTGGTGAAATCAGAACCTCTTTAGTGTAAGGTAGGGACTGGCTGGTCCTAGGGGTCAGCAGGAGTTGAAAATCATTGCTATCAGTTTCAAAGACCAGATATGATACCATTTTCATATCTTCCTATGGAAGAAATATTCACAGTCCAAAGACAGTCACGATGGTTAGAAACACCAGAACTGTCTAAGCTGAATGAGTGTATTACTTGGATATAAACAGACATTCTTAAGATAATCACAAATGCTACACTCAGTAAATATTAACCATCAAAAGAAAAAAAGGAGAAAACAAAATTTTAAAGATGAAAAAACTCAGAAAAACGGCATATAATCACAAACATATAACTATGTAATACTCACTTAAATATAGCTTAAGCATTAAATCATATTCAAAAATTTCTCTTCCACTGAACAGCAGCTAATCTTGTAAAATATTTGAGTTTTAGAATTTTCCCATAGATATAAGTAACAAAAAGCAAATAAAGAAACCAGAAGTATAAGACATCCTATTACACAGGTATATGAAATCAGTTCAAAGGGGAGTTTCCACTGCTCAGAGGACAAAGCACTTCTCAGAAACATTACTGCAATCATATTGCTCATTTCTTACTCAACACAGTACTGCCGAAAAGGATGTTGCTATGTTCCCACCTTTAACTGCTTTATGTGTTGTTCCTGTGATAGCCGGAGCCAACAAAGTTAAGTTTGGCTTCTGGAAAAAAACGAAATGCCAAGCTGCTTTATTTTTAAACTTGCTCTAAAACTCTTCCCTATTATCTGATTCTATGAATTTTGCAATAGCTACATATTAGTTACAGCTGGACAATGAGTAACCAAACCTGGTCTAAATTGTATGCTTAAACAAATGTAACAATAAAAACAAGTTCTATGCAGTTTTTAGTTTTTTATAAGAAGCTACTCACACTCAAAGGGGGCTGACTAATAAAATCTGAGACCAAAAAAATGCAAGGAAATCGAAACTGTAATATCCTAATTAAATCTAGGTGACCTATTTAGGAAAATAGTTAAGATTCCTATTCTATGAACTTCCTGATTAAGAAGAGATTAATAGCTACCACAGAAAGGATAAGAAAATATTAAAGGTTAGAGAAGAATTTTGATTTTGTGTTTCTATTTCTAAGTCAGTCACTTGTAACCAAATATAACCAGGTGAGTGGTGTAAACTTACATGGTTTATTGTAGATTGCACAGCCTTTAAATAATGGTTTAGTTCCCGATCCATCATTGCAAATTCAACCATTGCCTTATCCATGCTGTATTCACTACTCACTTCAGCTGAAAAATAAAAGGGAAATAAATTGTTTTTCACTTAAAATGCCGTATCTGGGAAAAGCTATACCAACATAATTATTAGTCAATGGTCTATGTAAATGATCTTGCAAAAGTATTACATCTTTTAAAATGTCTTCAATATACACCTGGTTCATTCAAAATTTGAAGAAGATGGCCAACAGAAAAAGGCTCGAAGGTGGAAATGTAGACTCAGACACATGAGTCTCAGGCTATGCCACCTACCTGGACGGTCTGAAATCAACCACTACACTTTTCTCAGCCTCAGTTCCATCATCCATTAAAGCAGCCCAGTTATATATCTGCACATGAACTTCAGTATCGTTAAAGATCAAATAAGGAAGATTTTTCACTTCTAGTAATGGTAGGCTGGGTTATGCAGACCAATCCTCCTACTGAAGACAACTAAAATGACTGGGTAAAACAGGAAAAAAAAGAGATCTCCTTAAAAACAAAAGTCACAACATAGTAAGAAAAACCAGGGCCAAATCAGAAGCAGAACACAGGATACCAAAGTTGCATACATTCCCCTAGTAACTTGAAGGTCCCCACTCCTCAGAATAAAGATGAACTAGTGTAATAAGCCCACCCTGCTCCTCCAGGCTGTAGGGAGGTTGGCCTTGGCCACGGAGCAGAACAGAGGGCAGAGAGAGAGAAAGAACAAACATGGCTCTGAAAAACTGTAACAACAAGCCACAGCAGAAATAGATCCCGAAATATTTCAGGTATTGGTCAGAGCACGAAACAACCATGCTTACTGTATTTAAAAATTAAAAAACCCTCAGGGAACAAGAGGGTTACAAAAAGTGACTAGTAGACTAGAAAAATGAGATAATATTAAAAGTGCTTAAAAGAAAAATTTTCCCCAAGCTCTAGACACACAATTTAACAGATCAAGAAAAGATAGAGAACACAGGATAATAAAAAATGTTAGCATTTAAAAACCTGAAAGAAATGCAAATAAAACTGGTGTCCTTAAATCACATTTGGGGATGCACACACTCTAAGACTCTTCATTCAAATACTCTAACTCAGACCAATGTCAGTATTCCTTGTCTCCCCTGAAGAACAATACAACTGTCCAGCTCAAAGTTATAAAATAACGTAAAACCCACTTACATTTGGCTTGTAAGAAATTATTTCCTAGACTTCTAAATTACGCTTTAGTTTTACAATCGTCAATAATAAACACATTCCTTAAAATATCTCCTGGGTTAACATGCTTTTAGTAGAGTATCTCTTGGCTTGTAACACCCAGACTTCACAGAATATATGTATACCTCTATATAAGTTTTTTGCTTTTCTTTTTGAGGATTGGGAAGGAGCAGGGTTTATATAAGAAAAAAACTGTATTTACATTCACAAAATTAAATACAAATTTTAAACAAAATGGCAAAAGAGAAAGGTCTCAAGTCATATACCAAATAAAATCGTAAGACTATTCAAAAATGTCCAAACATCAATGAAAGAGACATGCTGCTTAGCCATTGCTGGTACCAGCGTGTCTCTATTGCCATAATATAGCAACTGTTTGTTAAAAATCATATTAATTGCTTGATGATCAGAAAGAGAATTTCAAACAATCTATATCCTAATGATGATGGGTTGTGACTTACCTAAGTATTTTACTGTATATATCTACATTTCAGCAAAATTGGTTAGGAGTTTGGAATTGACCTATACTTTAGGTTTTTTTTAGTTTTTAAATTTTTTTTTAGTTTTTTCTCATTTAAAATAATGAAAAATATGAAAAAAGAAAATCTTTTTAAAAAGAGAGAAGTAGGCCCCTGGTTTCACACAAGCTTTATCTAATTAAAGGAAATAATGGTGCAGGGTTTTTTTTGTTTGTTTTCTTAAAGAAATCAGTGTATTTTATGTGTAATGCATTCTTATTTTGGGACCACTGAAAAGAATGGGTAAAGCTGGTAACCTGAGCAAAGACTAAGAGCATAAACTGCTTTCTAAAAAATTCAATAATTAATGGAAACTTCAACCTAAATTGAAACTCTCTAAAGGATGTTATCAGGGGCAAATATAAGAAATAAAAATCTGTCAGGGGCTTAAAGCAGCAGGAATTGATATAACATTGGCAACCTTCCTCTGGAATTGAGTTAATTTTTGAAAGCACTTAGAAATGTGCTTTTGACATTCAAGTTTGCAAAGTAAGCAGGATGATGCTCTTATTATTAAGGGCCCATGGATAATAGTAAGACTTGAATTAGATAACAATTTAAAATACAAGGCCAAGGAGACCGTCCCTGCAAAGGAGAACGTAAGTGATGATGGCTGGGCCAGGATTTGATGGCATGAAGCCTAGGGGAAGCATCTAAGGAGGCCAACTGGGCACACGCAGCCTCCATTAAGGCTCAAGAATGTTGGGACAAGCTAACGAACCTAAGTGATGAATAGTGCAGCCCGAGGCAACAAACAGAAAACACCAGAAAAGAGCAGGAAGCTACTCCTGAAAAGACCAGAACCATGCCACGCCTGGAAGTGATGCTCAGTCAGATAACTTCAGCCTTAAGTCAATGTTTTGACCTGCTGGAGACAAGGGCTTGGAGAGACCAGAGACAGCAGATAAGAACTAGAAGAGACTCCCACAACAGCATCTGGAAGGGAGACCATGAGAAACATCCATATCAAGCAGTTGTTAACCCCCATTTCCCTTATTATTACAATAATAACCTCTTTTTTATTTGTGTTCATGCTTCAGAAATACCAGGCAAAGAAAGGTATACGGAATGTGTCTTGTTCTACTAAAGAACTGAGGTGGGGAAAGAGCATAGTGTTGTATGAAAAAGACTAAATAAAGCCCCAAAGAACTCAGGAGGAAAAGAGGGATAAACACATGATGGAGTGGGCTGTTGACTAAAACGTCGCTGGGGAATGGAGAGGGGCAGAGGGACCGAGTAGCTAGAGGCCCCTTGATTCTTTATTCCACGGTCCATAATTCCGCTATCCAAATTCTCCCACTCTTACAGGAACAGCCCTTCCTAAAAACCCACACCAGCCAAATCTTAACTCACCCTTCAAGGGCTGAGATCAAGCCTTGCCTACTTTTAAACTCTACCAGCATAGAAGGATCTCATTTAATTTACCTTAACAACTGTACTTGATACTTTGGCACTTTGAACCATAAGCAATCTTGTTTTCCTATATGAATTTGTCTCATTTTTCCAAACAGATTTTAATCCATTTGAGGGTACAAACAATGCCTTAGTGTTCTTGGGATCCAACAAAGAAATAACAATATTCTTATACAACCATCATATAATAAATTTGAAAATTAAATTTTCACCAAACTAAAAATTGTCCTGCCCTGATATTCAAGTGATTCAAATGTAAAGAAGATATGTAATATAAATGTATTTGCCTATTCTATTTTCATTGCGATGTTTCCATAGGAAAAAGGCTGGCCCCAAAGCAGGGTGGGGAGCAGGGGCATTACAAAAATGATGTTAAAATTCACTGAATGACATAGCTCAGAGAGGAAAATATTACTGTACCACACCTCTGCAAGCCTGGAAAGTAACTGCAATGATAAAAATGTATGTAATAATAATAGCTGTAGCTAATAATTAGTAAGCACTTATATTATGAGCCAAGATGCACTCAGCACACTGTGTTTATATTAAACCTCACAGCAACATTAAGAAAAAGGTAGTTTTATCTCCACTTTATATGAGAAAAGTGAAGCACCATGCAGTTGAAGTAATAACTCATTCAAGAACACATGGTAGTGAATGGCAGTCAGGCCTCGGCACGCAGACCTTCCAGCTGCAAAGTATGTGTACTAGCCTCCCTGTGCTAAGAGGTGCTTCAACATGAGAAGGACCAAGTGCCTCTAACCTCTCCATGAATATCTAGGGAACAAATCCTGGGGGTGAGGGGACTGGGGAGAAAGTCATGGCCCCCAGCTAGCTTCATCTCAGCTCTGAGGGGCCTGTTCCAAGTAGGACACTGGCCAAGGTCATTCAAATGTGACTGGGCCTGGTCGAGGAAAAGCTTTCCTGAATTCCTTGGAAGGGGAAATCGGTAACAAAGAGAAAATGATCTTCCCCTTACGAAGTTTTAACACTGGTAAAGAGAGTGATCTTTCCCATCAGCAAGGCTAATTGGAAGGGTTTTATAAAAGCAACCACGTCACCGACTGAATGCTCAGAGAGTAACTAAGTCAGCTCTTCGAGCAGCTGCTAAGTCCACGGAAACCAGGCCAAGAGCACCAGCAACAGAGCAGGAAGCGGAAGCCACGCCAGGGCAGCAGCAGAGACTGTTTCAGAGGAGGGAAGAGTCTGGGAAGGTTTCACACGCAGACATACTGCTGAGTGGAGCCCAGGGTCAAAACCATTTCTACTCCAAGCCTTTGATGGGGATTCCCTGCTGGCTCAGACAGTAAAGTGTCTGCCTGCAATGTGGGAGACCTGAGTTCGATCCCTGGTCGGAAAGATCCCCTGGAGAAGGAAATCGCAACCCCCTCCAATACTCTTGCCACCATCTTCCCTAGCCAAGCGGGGGTCTGGGAGTCTAGCACTTCTTAGATGTGCCACTGAAAGAGCATTAGTGTATTAAAATCAACTCTTGCTTGTGTTAATCAAGTGAACCTAGGCAATACACTTGAACATTCATTTACAAGCCATTAAATAGCTGGGAAGGTCTCCTGGAGACTTGGTGAGTCCCGTGTAACACATCTGGCACACAAATTAAGAAACTGCTCCAAGAAATTACTTCAAAAACTAGCTGAAATATGTCCCCCTGCCCCTGCCCCTGCAAATTAAGTCCAGAGGGCACAGATAATTACAACTGTTCCTGTAAGTACGCCAGTACAGTGGCTGGCCTCCTGCAAATCCACCTTGTTCATACCCCCGTGATCTGGCTCAGCACAATCCCAAACACTAAGGACTGCTAATAAGTACTATGGACTGCTAATAGAACTCGAAGAACTGACCAAGTGTTATGTAGACCAGGAAGGACCACAGAATGAAGCC